CGAGGGCAGCCTGCACCTGCCTGCCCCCCCTCTGCCCCGGCTCCCCGCTTGTCCCCAGCCGGTCGGAGAAGGGCAGTGTGGCTCGGGGAGGGCTAGCGGCTGCCTGTCTGCGAGCCTGGGTCCCTGCTCCCGTGCGTGCTCCTCGCCTCAGTGGAATTCCTGCAGTCGCATAAAGCTCTGCAAGGTCTTACATCCCCAGGCACCGAGTGATTCCTTCTCGGGAGGGGACAGCTGTGACTTCTTGCAGGGAGAGGCAGCTCCGAGCTCTGTCGTAAGATTTCTCAGCCAACCACATATCAAAAGATATTTGTTTTGCTCTTACTAAGTTTAATTTTCATTAAGTTTCATTTTTATTAATAAATCGGCAAACATCAGAAGCAGCACTGTGAGTTGCTGCCGCTCCTCTCAAACCAGACAGTGCACTCACTTTTGCTGCTTTCCTAAAACCACCTTTATCACCTCTGAGGCAGAAACGGCAGCTGCAATTTCTGAAAGCTTTTATTACCAGCTACACACACTAAAATGTCTGCAGCTTGAGAGGGGCAACCTCCCTCCTCCCTAAGAAAGGTGGGAACTGAATGCTGACTTCTTTACAGAACCACACAGCAAATGATCTGCAGAGCAGATGCAATGAAGGGGAGAGGCTGATAAGGTGATAACTGAGCATTCAGTGTAGAAATGAAGCACTTCTGCAAAACGCACATCTGAAAAAGGAACAAGAACAAATGAGGTTTTATTCACTGAAGGGAAAAGGCAATAGAAGTACCAAAAATAGGCAAGAAAAACATTTCAGGACGTCTAGAGAATAAAAATACTGCATTTTCTTACAGGCAGGAGTGGGGAAAATGCTGCTGATATCCTTTCCAGAATCAGCGTTCGAGTTAATATCAAGATCTCACTTTCAACCTTTCCTGTATTAATTCTTGCAGAGTTCTGTTCCGGTTACTAGAACAAGCCATCTGCTCCTGCGGGTCAGTCCTGACGTTACCCGGTGCCTAAAGACACCCCGACACAAACAACAGAGAATCTCATCAAGCAACGTAAGAATAGAGGAGTCATTAAAAATACATGTGATGTTGTAACCAGATGCCTATTGTACAGCCTCAGCTACAACAAAGCTTGGGAAGTAGAGTGGTGTGTGTGAACAGGCTGAACTAAAATGGCAAAAACAGATTTATTTCAAAAATTTTAGGTGAACCAAAAAATTATAACTGCCTAGTTCACCCCAAAGAGAGAGAAAAGGGAGAAACTCCACTGGAAATCTATAAACAGTCCAAGAGGACTAACATGCCTGACAAGCAGCGTGAGGGCTTCCACTCTTGCAGAACCTTGGGCTTGGAAAGCGGGATTAGACTTTTGTAGCTACGCAGGCTACAGGATCTGTGAGTCAAATGCTGAGATTCCTTAGGGAAAACTCCCGTCAGGTCAGTAGTGTAACATCCTGCCTAAGAATAAGCAAAGTCCTGTTATCAATGCTCTCAGGTGGAGAAGCCAGGTTTGTAGGAGACAATAATACCCCGTACTAGGCCTACGGTGTAGCCCAAGAGGCCTTCGGCCCGCGTGGCCCCGGCAGTGCTGCATCGCCCTGTCCTGCTGCCCCCCGCCCCTCCCGCAGCCCCGTGCAGGGCATGACGGGGACACCCACCCCAGCAGAGCCTCACCCAGCAGAGCCTCTCGCTTGGTGGCACACACATGAAGTTCCTTCTTTCACTGACCTTCGAGCAACTTCTAGAAATTCCTAGATGAGATCAGTAGCGTAATTTGGTTATTTTTATGCCTTATCATTTTAGGGATAATAAGAGACCTACAGCTTCATTCTAGTACTGGAAATGCCCTGCAGATTGCAAGGCTGTACACCCAACGCCAAGATGAACCAAAGAGCAGACTACAGCTTGTACTGATTCCTGTCAAATGCTAAGTATTTGCTTTCCTCTTACCTTCATCCTTCCAGTCCTGTAATATCACAAAGCTGAGATAAGAAATAAAAAGGCAAACTGACAGCAGAATGTTCACCCCAGAATTGGAAAAAAAAAAAAAATTAAACCCTCACATTTAGAGATTAGAATAAATAGTTTGTACTTATAACCTTCCTGAGTGGTCTTACGCTCAAGTAATCTTCCTGCTGTCAGTGAGAAAGACAGCAGGAATAAGAGTCTGCAGGTTCATCCTTTAGGGGTAAATTTAATGGGATCTGGCACTGCTGCTGACAATTCTCTGGACTTCTGATGGACGACCACCAGGCTGAACCAAATACATGGTAGATTCATTGAACCAAATAAAACTCGGCATAAGATTTAGAGAGTCAGAGAATGCAAAAAAGAGTTAAAGAACAGATTGTCATTAAATCAGTACCCTTGAGATATAAAGGTTTCTGCTCAATACTAATCTGAGAGGGGATAGGAATACTATCTCTTAAAAATCAGTGGTTAGGGAAGTATGCTGTTCCAAATACTGTGCCCGCAGGTAGTTGAGAACAACATACAAAAATGGATGCACTGTCCAGCCTTCAGAAAAACAAACTGCGTCACTATAGCTCAACTTGAATTCTTCCTCAAGTGAAGAAAAGCCAATAACCCATTCAATATTGTTTTCTCCAGTTGGGCCAAACTGACAACAGTAAGACCTTATTCTCAATATGACCCCTGGATGACATTTAGGAAATCCAGACTCATTTAAATTGCTATGAAACAGCGTTGATGATACTTGTTGTATTTCCTTTTGGGAAAGGCTCACTTTCCCAAAGTAACAAAGTCAACGTTCAAGAACAAACAGCTGCCAACATTACCGCTGCCTGTGTGATTTTGACCACCCATCTTAATCCTGATCTCTTCTCCCCGTCAAGTCCTATGTCATAGGCAGAAGAAAGTGGAAAATCTGCCTTCACTCCTTGGCCCCGTGTGTGTTCAGTGCAGTTGGACTGTGAGAGAATTTAGATGGTAAAGTCTAACACACTGAGTGTTTACTCATTTGGGTACTTTTTCTCAGTAGGCTCATAATGAATCCAAGTCTGGGTAATTTCTCATTCAGGAAAGTAAACAGCCTAGGTCTCAAAATATTTGCTTCGGTGCCTAAATTATTCAGGTCTAATTGTATTCTATTACAAAGCTTTGTCTTTGTTAGTCGGCAGGCTAGTGTGACTGATTTGCAGGTGTTTGCAAGCCTGATAAAATGCTTGGCTGAAAAGCTGTGGGTTTTCTTTTTTTTTTTTAGCTGTTTTTGAGCATGCCTAAAAGCCACACACAATGCTTCGGTTAACACAGGCTAACAGGCGTTTTGGGGTCCTGAATTTCTCTGCAGCCATACAGGCAAACGTAGTTGTAAGCATTACTGGGAAAAGGGTGGGTTGTGTGAAAGAACCGGGTTAAAACTGAAGTGAGGTAAAACTGCATGTGACATACACAAATAGAAGGAAAGTTGGTAATAATGTGAACGCTGAAGCAGAAGGGAAGAGGCAGAATTCGGATGAATTAACCACAAGGTTCTCTGCACAGTGCAAATATGACTGTGCAAAGCTAGCTACACTTTGACAGTTAACTTCAAAACCACAGCATTGCAAAAAAAAATGAGCGCGAGCACAGAAAGGCCTTTACTCCACCAACAACCGCAGCAGGAACTACTACAGCTGTGCGAAACACGAGGAGTCGAGGCCACACCACGTTTCCAGGCAGCTGTCTGCTCCGGAGCGCCCGCGGGTGAAGCTCCTGCTGCGCCGGGGCCGCCGCAGGCCGAGGCTCTTCCCCTGGAGCTCCCCGGGGAGGCTCCGGCCGGGGCTCCGTGACCCCGGGGAGGTGAGGGCGGGTTTCTCGGCGGCTGGCAGCGGAGGC